CTAGCTCTTCTGGTTCCGAGTTAATAATTTTCTCGCCAAAACTTTCACATGCCCGTACTTGCGTACCCCACGTACCTGGGAAGCTGAATTTGAAATTTTTGAACTGGGCTTGGACAGAGAACATCCCCGCAAAATTTCAGCCTTTCAGCTTTTCTGTTTACCGAGTTGCCAATTTTCCCCCCAAATATTCCACATGCTCGTGCGTGAGAACCAAGCGCACCTGGAGACTGAATTTGAAATATTTGAGTTATACTTGGACAGGGAACATTACCCCAAAATTTCAGCTTTCTAGTTTCCCTGGCACCCGAGTTAGCAATTTCCCCCTAAAACTTTCGCACGCCCTCACGTGAGTACGAAGCATACCTGGAGGTTGAATTTGAAACCTTCGGCTCACCCATGTACAGGGAACATCCCTGTAAAGTTTCAGCCCCTCAACTTGTCTGGTTCCCGAGACCGCTTCCCGTCAAAAAATTTACATATTTTTTAATGCGTTTTTTGCAGCTATGCAATGCGGAAAACGCATATCGAAGAGAGGTTGTCTGTGTGTGTGTGTGTGTGTGTGTGTGTGTCCGTGCGTGTCTATGTGTGTGTGTTTGTGCGCACGCAAGGCCTTTGTACCGATTTTTCATCTCGAGGCCTACAAAAGCTACAGGGCTGAAACTTTGGGGCCTTAATCTACAAGTACGTACGAGCCCCCATCCCCAAAATGGGCCGTCTTTCCCGCGTGGTACCCAAGTAAGAGCTCGCCAAAGTTTTTTACAGGTAAGCTGCCAATTCGCAAAGCAGAAAAGCTAGAGAGCTGAAATTTTAAGGGAATGTTTCCCGCCCAAGTAGGTATTAATGAGCTCAAACCCAGCCGCCGGGTAAGCGTGGCCTCCGCGTACGAGCTCGCCAAAATTTTTCCCGGGTAGGTTTATAACTCGGGGATCTGAGATGCTAGAAGACTGTAATATTAAGAAGATGTTCCCAGTCCACATTAATCTCAACGAGCTCAAACCCAGCCCTCGGTCATGCGTGGTACCTACGCACGGGTTCATCAAAGTTCTTCTCGAGTAAGTTCATAACCGGAGAGCCTGAAAAGCTAAAAGATTGTAGTTTTAGGAAGATGTTCCCCGTGAAAGTAAATCTCATCAAATCCTGACATCGGGTATGCGTGGTACCCGCGTGCAGGCTTGTGAAAAATTTTTTCGAGTAAGTTGCTAACTCAGGAGTCAGGAAAGCTAGGA